TTAACTTTCATTTATGAAATATATGATATTATTTCATTCAATATATGGTTGTGATTCAAAATATAGTATATAGTGTGTATTACATTATTCAAATGCGCGTTCAAAAATAATATTGATTATTCTTTAAATATGTCAATTTTTTTTTATTTTTTTTTTATCACAGGTTTTATTAGTTATTAATCACACTTAAAAGGTGTGATCTAAAGTTTTTAATCACACTTAAAAGGTGTGATCTAATGTTTTTAACCACACTTAAAAGGTGTGATCTAAATGTTTTTAATCACACTTAAAAGGGGTGATCTAAATATTATTAATCACACTTAAAAAATGTGATGAAAGCATTTTTTAATGACACGTAAAAAGTGTGATTAAAAATGACCATTTTTAATCACACTCCTAAATACCACACTTTAATAAAACTTAAAAAGTGTGATTAAAAAACATATATCACACCAAAAAAGTGTGATCTTTATCTATATTTGTAGCAGTGAATATATATTAGTTAAGTTAGGGCATCTAAAAAAGCAAAAAAGCTAGGACATCTCCAACAAGTTAGTTAAATAGATCTTTTTATCTAATTTTTCATCCATGCTGACCAATACTATATCTACTTACATTTTTATTAATAATCTTATTAAAAATATACATATCCCAACATCATTGATAGTTAAATATAATTTTTTTTCATAACCAACCACATTTATTGGTTGTTTGAAAAGTTGTTATTTTAGTAGGCTATTTTAATTTTTATTTAGAAAGATAATTGGATTTTTTTGTAATTGGATGTGATATTTATGAGAGAAAAAGTGAAATGATTATTTGTTTGATGTGGCATTTTGTTTTATTGGTTATTTTAGCCTATTTTGTCATTTTGTAGATTTTAGCCTAAAAAGCCAAAAAAAGCCTTTGCCAAACACCCCCTTACGTTCTTGTATTTTTAGTAAGATTGTTAGGGTTCGTTTGGGATGTGGGTTAACTTTTTGACTTTTTGACTATTTTAGACTGGAGCTAAAAAGCCTCATTTGGGATAAATTTTTTGATTTTTTTGACTTTTGTGAGAGAAAAAATAAAATGACTATGGGTTGGATATGATATTTTGTCATATTTGACTAAAATAACCTATATTTTGTCTTATAGCCCGAATGGGGCATCCCAAACGAACACTTAAGAGTGGTTTGGAATGTTCTAAGTGCTCGTTTGGCTAACGATTTGGGACTAAAAAAGCACAAAAAAATAAAATAAGCTATATAAGCTAATATGACAAAATATACACATAATCATTATACTTTTTCTCTCACAAAAGTCAAAAAAGTCACAAAACAAAAACTAAACGAGGCTTGTGGCTAAAAAAGTCACAGGCTATATTAGGCAATGTCAAATGACACCTAAATAAGTATACTTTTTGACTTTTTTATAACAAAAAAAATATGTAGAAAAGTAGAGAAAGTGGTTAGAAAAGTAGAGATGAGATGTTGATAGATATTGATGGATGTGACCCAAATAAGTGTATGTAGGTAAAAAAAAAAGTGCATTTTTTTAGTTTACCCCAAACACCTACTTAGTATGTGTAGAATTATTCTTCTTCAATCTAACCAAGCCATTTCTTCCTTAATTATACTAGAGACCCCAAATAAATTATTAAATATTTTATTAAATTTCTTACATGGGTGTGAGACTCACATAAATCACATGTGTGTGGGTCCCACACCCATGTAAGAGATTTGGTAAAATATTTTGGTAATTCATTTGGGATCTATAACATTTTCCTTTCTTCCTACATTCATTAGATGATTTCCATGTCATTTACCACCCTTTTTTTCTAAATTCTACCTTGGCCCTTAATAACATATTAATCCCATGGTTAGGCTTTTGATTTGACCCAATTAATATACTTATTACATGATTATCTTTTGGTAAAACTAATGCCTCTTAACTACAACAAACTACACTTTTGACAAATAAATTTTTAATCGCCAAAAGTCATTTTTTAGTTGCCAAAGAATTTTGATGATTAAATTTTTGGTCACCCGTTTGGTCATTAACTAATTGTCGGCAAAAGTAATTGGTGACTAATTTTTTTTTAGTCGCCAAAAGTCACCAATTGGCGACTAAAAATTTAATAGTCCAAAGTTTTCAATAAATGTGTTTTTTTATTTTAGCGACTAAAATATTTAGTCGGCAACATCACGGTACTCCTTTTTAGCTACTAATTTTTTAATTGCCAAAAACTTTCATTTTTTTATTTTTTATTTTTTGGATACTAATTGTTTAGTTGCCAACAAGTTCCCTTTTTTTTATTTTTTGGTTACTAAATATTTAGTCGCCAAAAGTTCTATTTATTAATTTTTTTAAAATGCACAAATTGAATATTTTTCATTAATTTCTAAATTATATGCATTTCATTATCAATACAACCTGTAACCTGTACATATTCAGAATAATGCATCTATCAATTATAATCTAAATCCATTATCAATAATACCCATTTTATTATCAACTATCCAAAAATTTTAACTTGTAACATCATATTTCAAATATCATACAAATCCATACCAACCAAGTATAATCCATCTAAATTAAATATTACATACAAAAATGCTGTGAAAATCCTAAGTGATTCGTGATTGGATCAAGATTAAAATATTCCAAATCCCAATTATTCAAAACACGCAATCTAAATCATCAAGCACTTACGAAAGTGATTTAGATTGTTGTTTTTCTGAATAAACAATAAAACGACACAAACGATTTTTACGTAGAAAAAACCACAATTGAAGAACCTTCAATTGTAATCAAAAACCACGGGCGAAACGCCACTAATCAATCCACTACTGAAGAAAGAAAGATTACAGAGATAACACACAAATTACCCAACTTAGTCAATTTGTCTTCAAATCTTCTGTAACTCTTTCACCACGCCTTCGTCTCGGAACTGATCAATCCTGAAGTTGAATCCACAACTTCGCTTGTCGAATTAACGACTACGTACAGAATCAAACTCCTTTGAAACTCCACATTTGAATCTTCGGAATCCACCGAAGAGAACTCTCTTGAATTATAAAGTAACAAACTCCTTGATGTATGTACCTTAGATCATGAGTGAAGAACTCTCTCAAAACATCAAGGAAAACTCACAAAAATCTCTCTACAAGAAAACCTTAGAAAACCTCAAAGTAGATCTGGAAAAGTAATCCTAAAGTTTGGAGAAAACCAACTACTTATAGAAATCCGGATTCTGAAGCTCGCTCGAGCGAAGCTTCTCTCGCTCGAGCGAGAAGCTTATCTTGCGTGATTTCCATAAGTGCCTTCGCTTGAGCGAGGAATAAACTCAGTTTTTATGCAGACGCAGTTCTTCGCTCGAGCCACCAATGCTTTGCTCGAGCGCACAATGACCTCTTTCAGGTTTTAAGCCAGACGCAGTCCTTCGCTCGAGCAAGGACTTCGTCGCTCGAGCGAGCAACACAAAACAGCACAGAAATTACAATTTGATTACACATGTTTGTTAGCGAGATTGACAAGACTTAGGGACCTAACAATCTCCCCCTTTGTCAATACGCGGACAAAACTTTCTGACACAATTTCCTACACAACTGCACGAGCTAAAACAATTACAACTCAAAGATCTAGCTAAAACACATGAACTAGCTAAACCAACTATGAACCCAATCTTGATGGGAAAAAAAGTCAGCATAAAAAAAAACATAGAAAAAATAGTTATTCAAACCAAGAAACCATCAAGACAACAAAACAAACAGAAGCCCAATAACCTGCCAAAAGCTAACAACTATTGATGTAAATATATCATGAGTATCAAAATAGATCATGTAAGTATCCTATCTCGCGTGATTTCCATAAGTGACTTCGCTCGAGCCACCAATGCTTTGCTTGAGCGCACAATGACATCTTTCAGGTTTTAAGCCAGACGCAGTCCTTCGCTCGAGCGAGGACTTCATCGCTTGAGCGAGCAACACAAAACAACATAGAAATTACAATTTGATTACACAAGTTTGTTCGCGAGATTGACAAGACTTAGGGACCTAACAATCTCCCCCTTTGTCAATACCCGGACAAAACTTTCTAACACAATTTCCTACACAACTGCACGAGCTAAAGCAATTACAACTAAAAGATCTAGCTAAAACACATGAACTAGCTAAACCAACTATGAACCCAATCTTGATGGGAAAAAAAGTCTGCATAAAAAAAAAACATAGAAAAAATAGTTATTCAAACCAAGAAACCATCAAGACAACAAAACAAACAGAAGCCCAATAACCTGCCAAAAGCTAACAACTATTGATGTAAATATATCATGAGTATCAAAATAGATCATGTAAGTATCCCATATACATCAAAACAAATGATAGACTCCCGCAACCTGCAAATCATATCCCATAAACAGCAAAACATATCCCAAACATATCTAACCTGCAAATCATATCCCGTATAAATCATACTCACCCTTTTTGGCCGGGAGTGACAAAAAACAGTCATATACACCTGCAAAAAGACTAGCCAAGAGAAGAAACCAAAAACTGTCCAAGTAAATACAACTGTCCAAAAAGGAACCATAGGCAAAAAACACTAGGAAGGAGGAGATGGTGGATGCTGCATCTGAAGCATAGAGAGAATCTGAGCTAACATGGTGCTCTACTCATCAAGTCGGCTGTCTAGGGTATCAAGGCGGGCATCCAAATGATCGAGGCGACGAGTGACTGACTGCTCAAACATCTGCAGCTGGCCACGAAATGAGCGAGGGCGCATCTCGGGTATATCAGGAGCACCAGCTGTGGCTACCTCAAACTCCTCCTCCTCGGTAATGGGATTATCATCGCCTGCACTAGAACTCCCAACCCCTGACACACTCCCCCTCACATGGGCCTGACTCTGGAAAACAGTGAGCTTGGTAATGGGTTTGACAGGATGGGCAAACTGATCATCATCAGATAAATGAATATCAAGAGAAGTGAGAAAACGGGTAAGAAAACACCCATAAGGAAGACCCAAAGATTTACGACCCTCACAAACAGCAATCATTTTCAAAACGAGCATGGTCGGAAGATCTATGGGTAGCCTATGGTCAATACAGTACAACACATACCCCTACTCCTGGGTAATGTGTGAAGAATGGAGGGTGACATGAATATTCGCACATACAATCAGATTACGGAGACGAAACCGAGGAACAAGCTCATTCTGCTGAATGAGTGCCCCGGCGATCCAAGTCCTGTCATAACCACAAAGTTCAAATGCT